AAAACATAAACAAGCAAAAAGAAGGGCCAAACACCAAACAAACAAGTGCCCAACCAAACAGTTGAGGCCTAAAAACAAAAAAAAAACAAAAAACAAAAAAATTGAGAAGTCCGCTACTACAGTCTCCGCCAGAATAGTGCATCTCGACCTGCATAAATCCATGCTCACCACCAAACATCGCCTCGCCGATCCCATCATCCAACACCGATCTGCTCCTCGAGCATAGCCATTGAGAAACGATAACCAGAAACTGAAAGAAATCAATTGGCTATTGATGGAAAGAAGCCCATGGAACACCATGAGCAACACTGCCACACATGGCAGACAATAGAGAGAAAGTGGTGGTGTTGGGAACACCCGAGTCGGTTGAAACACCGAAACTCGAAGCACCATCTCAAAAAGTATGGCAAAAGATCGAACCTTAGATGAAGGAGGAAAAGGGATGTTAACAAAGTAAGGATAAGAGGGCAAATCAAGATGAGGAGGAGGGGAAAAAAGCAGCAAAGAAGGGGATAAGAGGAGAGAACAAAAGAAAGGGAAAAGTGGCAACCGACCCCAGCCGGAGCTAGAGTCGGTGCCAAAGATCTGATGAATCAAGATTAAAACCCTCACCAAAAGGGGGAAGAACTCTCATGCTAGGAGAGAATCCCGATAAGAAAGATGGAATTTGATTTATTGGCCAATTACTTTTATACACATTATGAGTGTAATTATTTCGATTTAAAGAAAATTTGAGGTTGGGTTCATAAATTAAAGATTTATGAAGGGTGGTCGTTAAACTTGTACTAATATGGACTTTTTAAGTAACATCGTTAGAACTTCAGTCTAAAATAAAGGTTTTAAGGGCGAATAAAAAACAAAAGTTCCAACATAGTTGTCCAAAAAGATCACTCCTCTAAATTGTTTTTCTGCCTAAAGTTCAAAAACCAATACTCACATATTTTTAGTTTGGAGATCAAAATTCAAATTAAGTTAAATTCAGAGATTAATACTCCAATTTTATCTTGAACTTAAAAGTTATTTGACATGACATTCAACCCATGTTTTAAATTTTGTAAGAAATGATTCTAATTCCAAGTACCCCACCGACTTTTTCTTTCTTTGTCTCTTTTTACACTTTTCTCTGTGCATTTTTTGACCTTGTAACCTTGTGCAAAATGAACGCTTTGAAGGAAGGATTGGGAGGAAGAATACGAATAAAGATGGATATGGATATGGTGACACCCAAAGAATAAGAACAGATTGTTTTTCTGCCTAAAGTTTTAAGCAGCAGATATATTTTTAAATTATGGAGGCATCAAACATGATTGTGGATTGTTAATTGTGTTGATCGATTGATCTACATGTAAAATGACCAAAGCTTCTCTCTATATTTGTTGCTACAGTCAACCTACATGCAAACATTTGTGTTCATGGGCGAACTAGGGTTTCAAATTGGACTAAGATGGAGTTGCCTTATATACTAATTTCAATATAGTATTAAGTGTAATTTACGAATAAAATTTACCATAATTGGAGCCGGCCTGCGTGGATTCAATCAAAATATTTTGGGCACCTACTTCAAGACAAGTCCCAATTATGGTAATTTATGCTTTCAAGCATTCAGTAAGGAGTTAAACTTACATGATAATACACAAACATGAGTATGCCACATAAGTGTTGTAGGGTATATTCTGCTCTGTCATCTGAGATGTATAATTAATTTATCCACGTGAGTATCGTACTCATTATGCAACTATTGTGTATGAAATACTCAAACAGATATATGCACCACGAGATAGTTCGTCAAAACTTTCTCGTTCCATAAACACTTATTTGTATACAAGGTTAGTCCAGCTAACAGAATTATTAACTAATAAGTTTAAACATTGCATCTCTTTGTGATTAGTGCAGGCATAACCAAACATGTGCTAACCTTAACTTAAGGATTAAACACTTGAATCAAGGACTGCAGAGCTCTAATCATCTCTAAACAAATGGTGTGACCAAGAAAAACAGGGCAATGACATGTTTGCACATCACATGCACTAGTTAATCAGAGTGTTAATTTTCCTAACACCATGTGATTTATTATAATAATCAAACATTTTGTTTTGGTGTAGTATAATTAGCGAACAATTAGCTTAATTACACATTAGTCAAGTTCTCATGTTCGTCCCACGAGGCCATGGACCGTGGAAATATTATTCCACATCTAGGGTTTAGGGTTTAATGTAATAATGACAGGTATTAGTTTTCTAATATAATTATAGTTGAAATGAAGCTTAATTATTCAAACCCTTATACAGTTTGTTGGTATGCTATAAGAATTAGGAAATACATTATGCGAAATTTTTTTTTTAAAGTTTTTTTATATTCAAATTTATATTGTGAAGAAAAAAGGGGTGCATTGTATTCAAATTTATATTGACTTTGTAAAGTTTTTTTATATGTTCGACTTTTATAGATTCTGTAGACTTTTATAGACTATTAGAAACTCTATGAAATAATGAATTGTAACAGATTTTTGTAGAGTTCAAACAGTAATTTATAGACTCTATGATTACACCTTTTTTACATTTTTTTTACCGAGAAACCGATTAGTAGGAGAAGACAAGGCTACACTTACGTAATTTTACTTTTTCTGCTAAAATTTTTAGACATGTGAAAGAATATGTAAAGGTTGTGATGATCATGATGATGGCGGTGTTAGTAGCGGCCATGGGTGGGGCGGCGGTTGTAAGGCGGCCGTAAGAGGTTGCGGTGATGATGATTGTGACAAGGTGGTGGTAGTGAGGTAGTGGTGGGGGTGGACAAGGTAACATTGTAGCTGTGTTCTAAAAATTCCCGTATAGGCGCTAGGCGGCTGGTTACTGTTCCGATTAATGTATGAGCATTTGAAAATTAAGAAAATTGTGCCTAGACCTGATGAGGTATCCGCCTAACCCGCTTAGGCATCCACTTTGGTTGCGACTCACTTAGACAGAAAATATATAACTTTCATTTTGTATTTTTTTGTTTTTTAATAAATTGTAAGAGACTTACTGAATAGTTAAATGAACACATATTATATGCTTGTTCCCCATGTTTTCATTATGTTCCAATACTTCATAATATATATATATATATATATGTCATTCTATTTTGTAGTTTATGATGAAAAAAATATATATTTTAAGTATAAACATACACTTATTTATACGAAATATAATAGATTTACTTAAATCTGCCTAGTTCGCCTAACAGCCTAGGCGCTAGGCCCCAACCTGCCCGCCTGACTAGTGCCTAGCGTCTTTTAAAATTTTGCATTGTAGTACCATAGGTAGATGATGGTTGTGTCGATGGTGGCAGAAAGATGGTTGTAGTATGGTGATGATGAGTATGACAAGGTGGTGGTAGAAGAAGTGATATGATGGTGGTGGCGGCATAAACAATTGTGATGATGGTAGAAACGGTGGTGGTGATGTCTGCAATAGGGTAGTGGGGAAGGTCATGGTTAGATAGTGGTGACAACATGGTGTGTTGTGGTTGAAGTGAAAATAGTGATCCTCGTTACATCATGAGGGGGTGGTGAGGTGTCAAAGTTCATCAAAATCTTAGAGTGAGAGGTTGAATTTGCTATGATAAGAAATATATCATAAAAAGCCTCAAAGTCTATGAAAGTTCATAACTTTTTAAAATCTTTTGAAATCAAATCAATGAACTTATGAATACACCAAAATTTTTGTAAACTTGCAAAAGTAATAACTGAATATCATGAGATTTTCATAGACTTTTAAGAAGTTATAAAAGTTTTTATTCAATACATAGTGACTTTTATCGATTCCATAAAAGTCTAAGTTGAATATACCTGAATTTGAAAGTCAAGCAAAATCCATACCCAATACACCCCCGCAAAATGTAAGTGAAACTTCCATGCAACAGTGTATATCGGTTTCTTTTTCCGGATGTAATCTAATGTGAGTTGTCTCGTGAGATGTGTGACCTTTGCATTCTTAACGCTACCTATTGCATGAGAATGCTTAATTTGGTGTCATGAACACGGAAACAGAGGGTTGAAAAACTTTCCTATCGTTGGATGGTTACTATTACAACGAATAATGTTTTTACTTTCGAGTAAATATGACTAATTATTGTTGTACTTGCACATTTGAGCTCTATTGATGTTCTTTCACATTTGAGCTCTACTACAAAAACAAAGCTTCAATGATGCCAACTAGTCACCTATTCATGTTACTCCTCTTCATTTCACACATAAATTAGGTCTCAAATTCAACATAAACAGTAAATCATCTTCATCATCCATCTGAGCCGAACTAAAATATGACCCTGATGCCTCCCCGTTCATGTTACTACTATTTTATTTTTCTTACATCGGTCTTTTACCTGGAACCAAAAGCATTGAAAAACTTCTGTAGCACCCGCGAATTACAAATATGAGTAGTAATTAATTTCCTTTGTGGTAAATATGGAAGTAAATATTGATGTTGGATCACAAAAGACCCCCTAATGGAAACCAAAGCCGAAATGATGAAGTTTACCAGTCATAAATGAGGTTAGGCCCGTGACTCGCACATTAGTGAGTGGTCACGACAGCAAGCAGAACAAACCCTTTCCAGATTCTTAGCCGCAACGCACCCATCACACAATCTCGAGTTCACACAGCTCCATCTTAACTCATGACTGCCTCCTCACTCAACATCACATGTTCTTCGATTATCTTCCACATTTTGTGCCCACAAAGTCCTTTACGTATCAATCATGCTCAACACAAAATGTACAACTCCAAGCTCCTCCTCCTCAAACACATCCATCACAACGTTATCTCAATGAGACCGGAACACAATGAGTCTCGTGCTTTTGTAACAAGTGTTTTACACGAAGAATTCTACGATATCGGACAAATCTCACGAGATAATGGCAATTAAATCTGTCCAGATAGTTGCAGGACGTGGGAAGATTATAACACAAGTTTTCAGATAAGAGATTATGAACACCATGACATGAAAGTACATAAAAGAGGAATCATACATACATATATTGAATCACTCATGGTCTAGCAAGAAAAAAACCAGCCCACCATGGCGGAGATGTTGTACATCATATTAACATACTAAAACCCCAATTGGACCAACTAAAACCCTAATTCAAATGTAGCTCTGCATATCCCAAAAACTTGATTGCAGTAGCCACTAGAACCCCCAATCAACTTAATTACTTGTAACTAAACCATACCCAATTACAATTAAACATGATTAACAACACCAATTAACTGAAGATCGAAGCCCAATCAATCTCGGACGGGTACTTCTCTAACACGGCAGTGCTCTCGGAAGCGCCGCTGTTCTCCCACGGCTCCGTAGAGTCGCCGAAAGTCAGATCGGAAAGCGGCGAAGACCCGGCAGACCCCTCGCTATCAGTCATCACCGGCGACGAGGTTTCAACCTTGACGGCCAAAGTCTCCGGGGCCGGCTGTCGGCTCGCTGCAGCGGATGACCTCTTGGCGGGCTTCGCTGCCTTGCCCTGTTTCTGAGTTTCGGCCAAGCCTTCGCAGATGGCTTGAAGCTTGGCGTCGACAGAAGCATGCAGAGGCTTGTACTCGCCGAACTCGCCTCCGACGACTGACCCATTGTGGCGGAGGTGCGGGAAATTGAGCCTGGCGAAGTCGCCTCTGAGCTTGTAAGCTGCCTTGTCGTAAGCCAGAGCAGCTTCCTCCGCCGTGTCGAAAGTTCCTAGCCAGAGCCTGGTGCGGTTCTTAGGGAGCCTAATCTCAGCGACCCATTTGCCCCAGTGGCGTTGCCTGACACCCCTGTAAAGCTTGGTGGGTTTCGGCGGCGAACCGGAGGAGCCCACCTGCTTCATCAAGACGGGTTTGGGGCCGAGGAAGCTGAGAGTATGAGACGACGGCTGAGAAACTTGTTGGTGGTGGTTTTCCCAAGAGATTTGGGTTTGTTGGGGTTGGGATTGGGATTGGGATTGGGACTGGATCTGGGCTTGGATTTGGTGGATCTGGGAGGGGGTCAGGTGGTTCAGCCCGATTGACGGCAGTTGCTGGTGGTGCTTCTCAAATAACCCATCTGAAAACAATTGGGTCATGGAGGAGGTGGAGCAACCGTAATCGTAGAAACTGGGCTGGTTTGAGGAAGAGAGGAAGTCGTAGGAGGAGGAGGAAGAAGGGAAAGAGGGAAGGAAAGGGGCGAAGGAAGGAGGAGACGTGGCGGTGGTGGGGAGGGAAGACGGCGGCGGCGGCGATGAAGAAGCACTTTTCATAAAAGGCTCAAGTGCTTCCATCAGCTCACCTCCGAAGGGATCTGATGATGATTGAAAAGCTGCTCTGCTACTGTAGAAATCCATTGTAGTTGCCATGCCTTCAAAACACACTCAAATCACGAAAATTTAAAATAATAATAATTAACAACAGAGAAATTAATTAACCTAGAAATCAACCTGTTTCTTGTCAAAATTAAAGAACAGGAAGTGGGTTTTTCAGGAAAGAGATTTCAAATAATCAACCTCTTTTTCTCCCAGAAAATCAAACAAAAAACCAACCTTGAGGGACCAAAAATTAACCCTCCAAACTGATTTTTTCAAAGGACAAAAAAATTAAAATTTAGCTAAAAATAAAAACATAAAACCTGGATCTCGATTCTGAAAACACCTGGCTTTCGAGAGAAAAATCCTTCTAAGTTTGCTTTTTTTATGTTAATTTAGAAAAACAAACCCAAAAATCATCACTTTTTGAAAGACAGATGATTAACAGAAAGGGATTCAGAGAAGCGGGGATTACAGAGAGGGGGGGATGGGATTAAACACAAAATAAACCAGAAGATCAATCGCTCTTAAAAGCCTCCAAGCTCTCACACTGTTTATCTGCTCTTTTATTTTTTTTTCACTCCTCACTTTGTTTTACCTCTGCGGCTGCACCCCCTCCTCCCTTATATAGAGGCCCTGGGGGACTAATTATCTTCGTTAATCACCTCGTTAATCCAAAGTATCTCACTTTAAGCCCCACTTGCCGCTTTTTTAATTTTTAATTATCTACGTCGCTCTCCAATTTACCGCGCATTCTGTTCGTGACGTACGCTCGCTCAATGAATAGAATCCAGGCCAATGGGTCTCTGCCACGTACGCGGTTCTGTCCTTGGAGAAGGACACCTGTCCTTCGCAACTGCCACCTGTCGGTGGACTTGCGGTGTTCTTAGCATAAATGTGTTGCCTAGCTTGTTGACCATAGTAGTACGCGTTCACACCTACTCGTGGTTTTTGAAATTTTTAAAGCACTGAAGAAAAAATTTAAAAAAAAAACAATGCAGCTGAAAAAATAAAAGTATTATTGAGTGGATTTGTTACTTCTATACACTCTCTGTCAGTTTACCTAAAAAAAAAAAAGAAAACTAATGAAAAGGGTTTGAAAACTTTGAGTTTTAATGATAAGGACAAAATAAAGGGTAAAGTGAATAGTATCAGGATTGACTTTTTAGTATAAAAATGTGGTTTTTCGTTAAAGTGAACAGTACCGGATGCTTTTCGTTAAAGTTCCCAAAAAAAAATGACTTGGATTGTCTGCCCTCCTAGTTGTGGTGCCCTTCCATGCTCTCCTATTTTGTGCGGTCACGGTTAAACCACGTCAATATTTTATATTAATTTTTTAATGAGATAATAAGACAAAAAATAATAAAAATATAAAATATTAACGTGGCTTAACCGTGACCGTACAAAATAGGAGGGCACGGAAGGGCACCACAACTAGGAGGGCAGACAATCCTTGTCCAAAAAAAAAATACACTATCTGTCACATTATAATTTAACATTACTTTTCTTATTAATGTTATAAGATATTGTATTAAAAATATGAGGTAATTGAGAATTCATTTCGAATAGTCTCTTTAATATTTCTCTTCGAATTAATGTTTGTAAGATGCATGCCTACCCCTCTACATCAACAATAAACCAATAACTATGACCTAAACCTAAAATGCAATATTTTATGGGGTGTGCTATCTACACACCCCTTTTTACTTCATACATACTCTTTTAATTTGTGGTCGTCAGATAGACTGAATTAAAGAAGATCAAATGGCAGAAATTAATAAAGGGTGTGTGAGAAGTAAAAATGGGTGTGTGAATAGCATACCCCTATTTTATAAGGACGAAGAAAACTTCATTACAAATATATGATTTAGGCTAATTGATTAAGATATAGAATCGTTTTTCTACATTTGAATTTGAACAATACCTACTCACAAATTAGAATAATTTCGCATAGGCTTATTGATCAGCTTGTATGACACACTCCGACTGAAGTCGAGACGTGATAGCCGTCACGTGAGTGTACTATCTGTCAGTGCTAATGCTATATGGGTTCATTACTTAGGCCTCAACATCTAAGGCATCACAATCCTCTCAGTCATCTCAGCAATGCACTCAGGAAGCTCCACAACCTTCATCTCAGCCAACTCAAGCCTCTCAAACCACTTCAAAGTCTACTGTAATAGGTCAGAAAAGGAGGAGGAATGTTCCATGATGCTACTTTAATGTTTTAGGTTGTTTAATGGTTCATTTTGTTATAGTTGAATATGCCCTTAGTTTTTTTGGGAACACTTTTCGATAGATCTTTAGTGTTTTGGGCATAGTTCAATTAGGTTAAAGTTGACCCATTAGTGTTTTGGACAGTTTTTTGGACAGATCTTTAGTGTTTTTGGAAGAACACCTTGACCCATTAGTGTGAATTGGATGGTGTATATTGAACTTTGTTGTGAATTGAAAGTTGTTGAGAATTCAACTTTGTTGGTAGTTAAAATGATGAATTTGCATATTTAGAATTCAAAGTTTGTTTAGAATTTAATTTGCAGATTTGGAATAGAAAGTTGTGTTATTTTTCCTAGGAAGCTTGATTTTTTTTTTTCAAAAAATTTTGATGGGAAAAAAGTGTCAGGTGCATGGGTTTGGGAAAAAAAAATTTGGCAGGAATTTTTTATTATTTTTTTCACTGAAACCCCTCTCTTAAAAAAAACACATGGACACATGTGGTAACCCATGTGGCGCCCAGTCATTGGCCACATGAGCGCCACGTCACAGTTAACTGGAGACTTAACAATTTGACTAACAGATGTATGAGACTGTCCCAAAATTTACACTTTAGGTATGACTCTGAGACAAAAAAAACTTGATATACTAAATGTTGAAAACCACTCAATTTGAGGGTAGTAAACAGTCTTTTACTCAAATATCAATGTACTAAAAAAAAAAAAACTATTGATTTGTTATAAAAAAAAAAAGGTCAATATTATCCTATACAATGCTAAAAAGTATAATTAATGACTTCAGAATAGGTCTCGTTAATCAACATCTCTCGACATTAGATAAAACAACACTACCCTAAATAATACCCGTATAGGCGATTAGCAACAATTAATTACAAAAAATTTGAAACATATATCATGAATTCAAAAAGCAGTATGCATGTTTGACATGGTTACCATGTTATAAAATGATATCCGCAACCAAAATGATGAGGAAAGTGGATGGAGGACAAGTGACCAAAATAATTGGATTGACACAATGCGCCACTAAACCAACTCCTCCAATTTAACAAGTATTATTTACATTGTATATGTGATGTTGTAGAGTAGTAGCGCTGTTAGAATCTGTCTTATACCATACGTTTCTAATTTTTGAAGGATTAAGACAGCCCACGTTCTGCAAATTATGAAAGCTTCTCGACCAAGATATTGATGAATAACTCATCTTATCGACTAATTAAATCATTAATCCTCCCCACCATCTCATCTTCAACCATAATTATTTAATTAATTATCATAATAAAGAAGTCGTATGCGCGTGGCAAATGACCAAACCCTAGTTGGAGTGACACGGACTTCAAGGAGCAATGACAGCCGTTGATCTGACATGAAAAGTGGTCTTTGACGTCATGATTGCATATCTGATGGTTGAGAGGTTGTCCCTTTCTCTGTCTTCCATCAAGAGGAGCTATCCAAATTGACAATTGTTGGCAACGCGGAAAGAATGAAGCTTTGAGTTTTAGAGGTCTTAACTTAACCATGGTACATGATTTGATGTTTGCTAACCATGGTTAGGAAAATTATTATTTTTATTTGTATCGATGACAAATTTTACTGTCAAGTTCAGTAATGTATGTAGATATCATCAATACGAGTTTTAATTCATTGATACTTCCATATAGATTCAAACAAGTTTTCAGTTTTCATAAAAATAAAATTTTAAAAATAAAAACTAATAATTGAAAACTGAAACGTTATCAAGCAAACATTTAATTCAGCGTGCGAGTAGCTAAATATAATTGTCAAAATCATTTTCCAGGGTACAAACAATTGCCATGGGTGAGTTTGCTACTTCCAACTGGTGTTGTATGTTACGTCAAGAACTCACATGCAATTGAAATGTTAAAGTGATGATATTTCACGCTAAATCTACTATATCATAGGTGGCAAGCTTTCGAAAAGTTAAATTTATTCATATTCATTGTGAAAGCTAACCATGTGGCACTCCGACTGAATAGCTGTGGGAGAGACTACTTGCAAGAGTTTTTATGATTTAGAGAACCATTCGATGTAATCTAAAATGTTTTATTTGATGATAGTATGTCTATCTAATTAGTAAAGGGAAAAATTAGCTTTCGGTCCCTAGTTTCTAATGTCCATTAACTAAGACCTTATCAGTTTTTAGATTTTGATCAAAGTTCCTATCATTAATATATTAATGAATTACATGTAAATTACGTAATTTTTATAAAAAAATATTAGTAATTGATTTAGAGTTTTAATACTCACACCCTTATTAAACTCCTAATTAATTTTCAATTCAAACATTTCTCAAATAAAATAAATAAAATTAGAATAAGTTTGTACCCATTAAATTTTTATAAAAAAAATTTCAATTTTTTAAGCTTATATGTATCCATTCTTAAATATACCAATTTGTTAAAAATGTATCCTTTTTTAATTTAAAATGTACCCATTATTTTAATATAAAATTTCATTCAATCTTTTCTCTAATCCATTTTTAAACTTATATGGATACATTATATTTTCGTTGATTTGAGAATGTATCCATGTCAAGTTTAATAGAAGAAATTTAATAATGTTATTAAGGCTTTTTTTTTTCTGTGCCTTTGAAAAATGTACCCATGCTTTGGTACAATAATTTTTTGGTTAGTTTTGATGAACTTACCCATGTACACACACACACACATATACATATATACACATACACAATATATTGGAGAGTATAATTCATCTTTAATATTTTTAATCCCATAAAATATGGGTTCATTTAAAATCTCATTAATATAAATAACTACAAATTTTATTTTTAATTTAAAAATATAATAACCTACATAAAAATACATTATTACATTAATATCAGGGACTTCAATCAAAAGTTAAAAACCACTAAGGTTTCAATCAAAGAATATTGGTAGTTAAGGACCGCATCCAAGTATCCCATTAGTAAAGTGTGTTTTTTTACTTGAACTCGAATGAAAACTCCAACAAAGGCTTTTTTTTCTGAAACCTGCTAAATTCCTTCCATCCTCTTGTACTATTTCAATCGTTATTTCAAGTAATATTGTATTTCACTTAAAAAAAATACATTATGTCGTGTGAGGAGATTAAAACACCTAATAGCTCATTTTTAATCGTTATTTTAACGTTTCAATTGCATGTAAGTGATCCATAATGTAGTTAGCTCGATTTTATACACCACATATACAACATAGAGCGCACCGCATTACGTATAAAATAAGCTCAATAATTTTTTCGTAGTTCAAAGTATGCCGGAGAATACGGTGTAGGCTGGAGTGCGAGCCCATCATGTCACGTGCCGCACCATGAGTGTGGGACAGCCTC